GGGCAATCAGGCCCTGCTGGCCTCTGGTCACTGTCTACAAAGTGATTGATCGGGGCGATTGGCCCCACTCATGTCTGCCTTGGCCTGGCGCCACCCACTCACCTGCTCCACCTCCACTCTCATCGGGGCCCATCAGGGCCAGCAGTGCCTCCACTGCTGCCTGCTGGCAGCACCATGTTGCTGATCCCCGCCATGTTCCACACCGCCCCCTGGTGGTCAGCACACGTCGTAGTGAGAAATCGAACTCCCGGTCAAGGGGACAATTTGCAATTTGCATATTGGGCTTTTATTGTATAGGATCTTTGAGATAATGATGGCTGCTAATTTAACCTATTTTTGCCCACCCCTGCGTAGTTGTTTGTGTATCTATTTGTGTATGTTTTGTAGCACATAATCACATCATCATACTGCTTTGTACTATAAACTCTGGTGTGTAACCATTCTCTCCAGTGACACTAGCTGCTGGCTGGCATTCCTTTTGCTAGCCTGGGCTGTGCATTTAATTTGTACCAATGGATTTATGATTTTCAAAAATCCCGTGTGTAGTTTAAAACCTCATGTAAAGATCATAGGAACTTTTAGCTGGTTATCTTTTTTAACCATTTATTATAAAAATCGCAAACATAGAAAAACTGAAAAATAATATATGAAATATCCACTATTTAGATTCAGCAGCTATCATTTTGTCATATTTGTTTCATGTATGCATGTTTTTTCCCTGAGCCATTTCAGAATGAGTAGTAGACATTATGAGACTTCAGCCCTACACACTTCAAACTATAGATTTACAATGAAGGATATTTTTTTGGTAAACATAAGGTCATTATCACACCAAAGAAAATTTATAGTAATTCCCTAACACCAGATACCCAACACATACTTAAATTTTCCCAATTGCCCCTAAATATATTGTAGCTTCTCTTGTTTCTTCCACCAAACAAATCCCATGAAATCATGAATGGATAATGCGTTGCACTTATTGCATGTGTTACACTTCTTTGGTTTCTTAATCAAGAAGAATCCCCCTCCCCTACTCCTGCTTTGTCAATGACTTTACCTTGTTTTTCTCCTCTCCCTGCCAATTCCTTATTCTTTTCAATACTACCAACATATTTATTTTTTAAGGAATTGATTGGTTATCACACATGAAATTTTAAATAAAGGCGTCATATTTATTAAGTTACCTGAGATGTTTGTAATGAGGTTGTGAAACAGTAGAACAGGGGGGCGGCAAAAGCTCACTTAAATATGGCCTTTAGCTGTTAGTGATTCAAGTGTACAATTCTTGTTTTAGGAACTGTTGTAGAACCATCAAAACCACCAGCCCTCTTTCTAGCTGGAGCAGTGGACACAGAAACTAATTTGGATGTTGAAGATGAGGAAACTGAAGAAAGAATGGATAATCTAAAAAATGACAACATACAAGCCTTAGAAAAACTGGGTAGGCACAAAGCATTCAATTCAAAGCAGTTTGACTTTCTCATTTGTTAATCTTTTTCTCTCTTTTTAGTTAATATAATGTGAGGAGTTTTAAAGGCATTTTGGCTCTATAAAAGTATTTTTAATATCAACAACAATACTTGTGGCGGTTGGGAACCAAGCATATTGTTGTTTATTCGTTGTTTATATTAATTTTGAATGCATTATTATTAGTATGTGATGACTATTTTTAATCTTGTCAGAATTTTAAATTGCTGCATATTTTAGCTTGTATATTAGTGATATAGATATACTAGAGGCCTGGTGCACGAATTCATGCATGGGTGGGTCCTTCTGGGTGGCTTGCGGGGATCGGTTGAAAACTCGCAGTCCAACGCCACCTGCAGCTCTTACCTGCTTTGCGGGGATGGGGTGAAAACCCGCAGTCCAACGCCACCTGCAGCTCTTCCCTGCCACTCCCGCTCATCCCAGCCCCACTGCCCCTGCTGTGGGCATGTGCCCAATCAGTCCTGATCGGGAGAGGCTTATGCCACCACAGCAGCACTTGCCAGCCATGAGCCCTGCATCTGGTGCCCTCCCAAGGGGAGGGGCCTGTGGGATTGGGCCGAAACTGGCTCTCTGACATCCCCTGAGGGGTCCCGGATTGCGAGAGTGTGCAGGCCAGGCTGAGGGACCCACCAGTGCACGATCTGGGCCGGAGAGGGACTGTGGGAGGGCTCCAGGGCATGTCTGTCCCTATCTCGCCCAGTCCTGATCGGCCAGACCCCAGCAGCAAGCTAATCCACTGGTTGGAGTGTCTTCCCCCTAGTGGTCAGTGCGACCGGTTGAGCGGCCTTGGCATGTCATTAGCATATTACACTTTGATTGGTTGAACAGTTGACCAGTCACCAGATGACTGGACACTTAGCATATTAGGCTTTTATTATATAGGATAGCTATTTGTATACATATAGAAGTACTTCCTTTTCACCATAAAAATTAATAATATATACATTTTTTTATGTTTCATCAAATTGCCAGGTAGCTAAATATTTGTCTTTTACTTTTCTTTTTAACTGATAGGCAACTTTGTTCTTTTACTTTGCACTTTGATCCCTCAGCTACTAGAGCTGACTCTGTTCTGCAAGCATATTGAGTAACCGTCCCACACAGTCTCCCACACAAAGTGCTCAGCAAGACCTTGTCAGTTGAATGAAATGGAATACTTAAACCACACATGTTCCAGAGAAATTTTGGCTTTTGGTTTTGATTGTCTTCTCTCAGGAAAGAGCGGCCTGAAGGAAGGAGTAATCCCTCATTCGGGTTAAAATTTTTCCTATGATTTGGAAATTCACCTTGTTGGGGTGTTTTGTTTTTTTTGGTAATCCTCACCTGAGGATATTTTTCCATTTTTTTTAGACAGAGAGAGCAGAAGGGAGGGGGAGAGACATAGAAAGAACCATTGATGTGAGAGAGACACATGGATTGGTTGCCTCCTGCATGCACTCCAACATGCCCTTGACCAGAATCAAACCTGGGCCGACGCTCTATCCCAGCTGTGGGCAAACTATGCCCCGCGGGCCGGATCCAGCCCATTTGAGATGAATAAAACTATTGAAAAAAAAGACCGAACCCTTTTATGTAATGATGTTTACTTTGAATTTATATTAGTTCACCCAAACACTCCATCCATGCTTTTGTTCCAGCCCTTTGATCCAGTTTAAGAACCCATTGTGGCCCTCAAGTCAAAAAGTTTGCCCACCCCTGCTCTATCCACTGAGTCAAACCAGCTAGGGCTCATCTTTTTCTTTTTGAACCAAGTAAATTGTAGTTACTCTTTGCTGTTTAAAATCAAATGAGAGCAAGACCAAAATATTCCAACAGCTATGAAGTTATTAGCCTTCTTTTTTTTTTTTTTGCTGCAGAGGTGAAACATTTTTTCCTTCTTCCCTTTTAGTTTGTTTAGCCGAATAAATAATTAAATGACATTAAGACAGGTTAGCAGGAGAAAATTCCAGGTGGGGGAGCCCCATAAAAATGGGGGGCCCAAGAGCAAAGTGAGGCGTATATGCCATTCTGAGCTAAGGAATGGGATAGGGACCTGGGCTTCAAAGTGGGGGCAGGGGATGGGAGGATAATTCACAGGACCTCAAGAAGGGCAGATGTTTGGAAAATTAGAAGTTTGCCCTGCCATGCAGGTAGGTCTTTCAGATAAAAAAAAAAAGTTGTCTATGGTAATAGCTCTTCTGGGCTAGACTCCTTATGTAAATTCATTTAGGTAGTTAAGGGAGAGGTCAAACTTCTTTCCTGAGTATGTTGAGTTTTTATTACCTTCAGCTCAAAGTAACCTACATGTCAAAATGGCATATTTTGGGGTGATATATTCTGTTCCCCTTTACTGCCATTGAAATAATAATAATTTCTGATCATCGTACTATTTATTTTTTTGATCATTTTGTGTAGCCTAGGATTTATTGAGCTGCTAAAAAGAAATTAACCTCTTTCCTCTGGTACTTAGATTTTGTGTAAAAAAGGCAATATTAATGTCAGGTAAGAAAATCTTAAAGATACAACGAAACCACAAAGACCAAAGTAAAAGCAAAGTTTCTATTACTGTATATTAAATCTCATTGACTCAGTGGTTGAATTAAAACTAAGAGGAAAGTCTGAATGGATTGCGTTGATGTGCCTACTTCATAAGAAAGATAGCTTGATGCGTTTTTACTTTTCCTATGGGTGAGTGGAAGGTACTGCTTTGAAATAATTAATATTTAAATTAAATCCTTGTTTGTCCTGACATATTATATAAAGCAAAACCAGATGCATTTGACTTATAAGCTATAGGATGTTTACTTATAAGCTGTATGTAATTCAAATTTCATTTATACTTCATCACTTCTTCCCTTTACAGTATTCCTTAACAACAAAAGCCCCTTCCTAATTTGGTCATGCCGGTCTTTACATTTTACATTAGTCGTATAGGGTACTTCTGATTTACGTTACCTAGTAGGTCTAAGTTAATGCATTTTTCATTTTACTTATTTCCATTTTATTTACGGAAACTGCTATTATTGAAGAATTAAGTAGCGTACTTGGCTCACAGTAGCTTTAACATCCTTTTTAAATATTTTTTTTAACCCAGAAAGAGCCCCTGACTTTTCAGAAAATGAGCTGAAATCGAGATGGGAAAACATACTGGGCCCCGATTATGAAGTAATGGTATGTTAAAATCTTCAAATAAAAAACATTCATGTCTCATTTCATGTCAAGCCCTTACCATTACAATGTAAAGGAATGGGATAGTCAAAGAGTAGCCAGCCTGTCCTTATTATTTCCTCCTGCCTTTCTTTCCTATTAAATCAATCAACTGATTTCTATTTATTTATTTATTTTTAGCATTTTAAGCTATAAGAACACGTAAGGACTGCACACAAGTTCCAGTTACAATTAGCAGACCCTCAGTTCATGCTGAAACCATTTAGGTCGACAATAGGCGGAAAAATGTTAGGAGAGAGAGGACTTGCCTTTAAATTTATAACCTGTCTCAGCTGCTTAAAAATTGCTGGCATTTTTATGATTGCTTTTATGATCTGTTTGTTTTATTGTACACTGAAAGGGATGTGGATATTAGCCCTATGTTTCACAAAGAATCTTACAGTTTTATGAGAAAAATGAAAGAATGATTATCAAATGTATTTGGGAGAACAGGAAGTAATTTAGGTTAGGTATAAGTTTATAGTGCCAGTGGTCCATTAGACTTCCTTTCACCTGTTATTAGATTCATTGAGTAAGGGATTGATTCCATTTCCCCATTTGAATCCACATGAAAGCAGAAATCTGTGCTTAGAAAAGTCTCTACCGTGTTCACTAAACGCGTTCGTAATAAAATATTCTATTCAATTTCTATTGTCATTAACATTTTCTTACATATGTTTATCATTAGTACTTGTTGGCTGGTTGGAGATTTTTCATTTCTCTTCTCCGTTCAGAATAGGCAGCCCCTATTGTCGGAAATTTTCCAGTGTCATTAAGATGAGTCAAAACAGTTCATACATTCTCTTCTTGCTAATTTTATACTTGCATATCAGTCCTCAGAGACTACTTGCTCCTTTACTTCATAGATTTTGAATGCTATTTTGTCATTAGGCTATCACCTAGGAAATGACTGGGCTATCATCCTTTATGGTTTGATATCCAAAGTAATGTGGTGTATCAGTATTTATAAATGGCCAGTTTTGTGATGAGCTCCTTTTTGTTAAAAGGTTATCCTCCTTACAACTACCCTTCCAGATATCATTTATCACATGGAGAGGTTACAGCGGAGGGGCTAGAAAGAGGGGACAGAATTTAAGGTAGGAAATTTAAAGTGACAGCTTATTCATTAAGAGTTGTAGTTTGTTCCGAAGCATGAAGAGCAGAAAGAAGTCAGGCAAGATGAATGAAGGCATGCATACATGTACTCCAGAGTTTTTCATATTATTTTCTTCCAGCATCTACTTATCTGCAGTACTTTTAAAAGCTTTAGTTGGATCGTTAACTTATCTCCTCCCTCCAGATGCATCATATTTTATTAACAAGTTACAGATGCAAATCATCAGTAAAGTATTTTGCTTGTAAGCCATTCATTTCTGTGGGTGTCCACCATTGGAGCTTTGAACAATAGTTTTAGGCCAGGATTAAAAGCTTTAGGTATTCCATGAGCCTCCCACCAGTCCAGGTCTTCCTTTTTGTGTCCTTGCCAGCCATTTCTCCTAGGGAGATGGTTTGAACTTGCTGGGGAATGTCAGACACATTAGTTTTTCCACACTTGTCTGACTTCACCGATCTTGCAAACTTGGTTTTAAGGCCAGAATTTAAAACTAAACCTGACCAGACTCTTGATTTTGTCAAAAGGGTGAATTTTTTTTATAGCCAACATATATTTGGGTCTTGTTATTATTATTTTTTAAAAAATATATTTAACTGATATTTTACAGAGAGGAAGGGAGAGGGATAAAGAGTTGGAAATATCAATGAAAGAGAAACACCGATCAGCTGTCTCCTGCACACCTTGTACTGGGGGTGTGCCCACAACCGAGGTACACGCCCTTGACCAGAATTGAACCTAGTACCCTTCAGTCCGCAGACCAACGCTCTATCCACCGAGCCAAACCAGTTAGGGCAAGAATGAAATTTTTATGGAGTCAATATAATGGAGGATTATATTAAAATTTTAGGGATCGTGGATTTTAAAAAAATAGAGTATGTATTTGCCCATCACCTTTCGGTTCAACTTTTGAATAACTTAGGGGAAAAGAGAACAACAGAAAAGCAAATATTCTCTGAAATTTACATTATGTGTTACACTTACGGAGTTCAGAAATATAGGAAAGAGATTAGAATGCAGGTCAGGTGCATTCTCTCACACGGAACATAGATTTTACAGATAGATTTTTTTTCCCAGGAAACCTAGGAAGAAAAAAAGTTATGCTTCTACAAATATTGAATATATTTTTTCTTGTAAATTTAGGTTGCTACTTTGGACACACAGATTGCAGATGATGCTGAGTTACAGAAATATTCAAAGGTAAGCATTATTTTTTTTTTAAAGTTACCAGTATTTTGTTGTTGGAAGAACTTTCTCTAAGTTCTTGTCGAAGAAACTAAAGTAGTGCTCTAAACTAAAGTTTCCAGAATTTAGTCTTAGACGTTTTCTGGAAATGTGGTAAGTTCTCACTTATGAAAGGCGATGGTGAGCTATGCTTGGGAAGCACGTGGGGTCCCTGCTACCACTTCCCAGAAACCAAAAACTCAGGTTTGACTGCTGTGCCCACCTTCAAGGTTGTACACAGAGTAACATTGTGCAAAGTGTGTGTAAGCTTTTCAGATTTTATAAGAAGGCCTTTTTAAGGTTTTCTAAAAATCAAGACCACAAATATAGACTTTAAAAAACCCTTCAGGTCCAGATGTTTAAGGACAGAAAAGTGGTTTATCTTCTGAGTACAAGCAATGTTTTTTTCTTGAACTTAAAAAAATTTTATAGTGAGAGCTTTATTTCTAATGGCGAAACGCCAGAAGGTAACTTTTACCGTTTTTAGTATCCTCTCACTACAAATTAATTTTATAGTTCCTGTTCTGGCTAATCAACAGCCAGGGAATTAAAACTTAGAGTAGCCACCTAGGTGGCTTTCTCGGACAGATGATGAGAAAGGTAAGTAAGTTTTCTTGTCAGAATAGTTTCAAAAATTATACTGTAACCCCACATAGGGTATATGAGCCGAGCCCAGCTTAAACTCTGCTGTCGTATGTGTGTGTGACTAGTTGATAAATTGGCTCCAATTCCTGGAGACCCTATGCAGGAGTCCTCAAGCTATGGCCCGCGGGCCACATGCAAATACAAATATTGTATTTGTTCCCATTTTGTTTTTTTTTACTTCAAAATAAGATATGTGCAGTGTGCATTGGAATTTGTTCATAGTTTTTTTTTAAACTATAGTCTGGCCCTCCAGCGGTCTGAGGGACAGTGAACTGGCCCCCTGTTTAAAAAGTTTGAGGACCCCTGCATGGTGTGTGATGTGCTCAATGTCTTGCCCTCGGCAGCCCAACTCAGTTCCTATAGACTCATGCCTCCAGCTTTCTCTTTTAAATATATTTTATTGATTTTTTACAGAGAGTTTTAGAGAGGGATAGAGAGTTAGAAACATCAATGAGAGAAACATTGATCAGCTGTCTCCTGCACACCCCCTCTTGGGGACTGAGCCCGCAACCAAGGTACGTGTCCTTGACTGGAATCAAACCTGGGACCCTTCAGTCCACAGGCTGACGCTCTATCCACTGAGCCAAACCAGTTAGGGCCTTCCAGCTTCTTTTATGGAGCCAATCCATCTCATAGCTGGTCTTCCTCTTTTCCTGCTGCCTTCCCTTTCCCTAGCATTACTGCCTTTTCTAAAGAACCCTGCCTTCTTATGATGCGTCTGAGGTAGGACGGCTTCTGTTTTGTCAGTTTTGCCTCCAGCAGTGGGTTAGGCTTAATTCGCTCTAGGAGCCACTTGTTCATATTTCTGGCTGTCCAGGGTATCTGTAGACTCTCTTCCAACACCATATTTCAAACGAATCAATTATTTTCCTATCTGCCTTCTTCACTGTCCAACTTTCGCATTTGTACATAGTAACTGGGTACACAGGGTGTGGATGATCTTGCCTTGGTCTCTAAGGATACATCTTTCCCAATTCTTCCATGGCTGCCCTTCTGAGTATCAGTTTTCTCTTGATTTCTTGGCTGCAGTCTTCATTTGAATTGATGATTGAATGAAGGCAAGCAAAATCTTGAACAATGTCAATGTCTTTCTTGTCTAGGTTAAAGTTGTGTATTTTTTCTGTGTTCACAGTGTTCAAATGCAATCCTGTTTTGGCACTTTCTGCTTTCACTCTCATCAGAAGTCATTTCAAATCATTGCTTATTCTTGCCAATAAGATGTTGTCACCTGCATATCTTAAGTTATTGATATTTCTTCCACCAATTTTCACTTCTCCTTTCTCCGAGTCTAGCCCAGTTTTTGTTTTTTTTTTGTATCGTATGTTCTGTGTACAGATTATCCAGATGGGGAGATAAAATGCACCCTTATCTGACATCTTTGTCTACAGGAAACCATTCTGTCTCTCCATATTCTGTCCACAGTACAGGTTACACCTCAAGACAATAAGTGCCTAGGCACGCCTATTTCTTTCAGAGCATCCCACCGCTTTTCAAGATTGATGCAACTGAACGGTTTAATGTAGTCTGTGAAACACAGACTAGCCATCTTCTGAAATTCTTTGGAGCACTCTAGTATCCAGTAAATGCTTGCAATTTGGTCACCAGTGCCTCTTCCTTTTCTGACTGCTGCATGACCATCTGGCATTTCTTGTTCCTTAAAGAGTAAAAGCCTTTGCTGCATACCTTGAGCATCTCTGTGCTAGTGGGGGAAATTAAAGTGATGGTCCTAGAATTATTGCACTCCTTGCATCTTCTTTCTTGAGACTAGGATATATATTGAACATTTCCGGTCTGTAGGCCATTGTGTTTTTGTTTTTGTTTTTTAATTTATTGACATGTTCTTTTTAGGATCATGACAGAGTTAGTCTCTGCAGCTTGAAATAATTCTATCGGGTATGCCATCTATTTATTTCATGCTGTCACTTGCAGTATCCAATATGTGTTTTTCATGTCCCATGTGGGTTTTACAAGATGTTATTTCTTCAAATAGTTCTACTATTTCTTTCTTTGAATATTTGTGATGAATACTTCTCTTCCATAATTTTATATTAAATGTACTGTTATTTTTTAGGTTTAAATTTTCAAGGCTGACTCTGGTGAGAGTATTTCTTTTCTTCTAAGATAACCTGCATTTTGAGTTAGTTCCTTGCTGTGCCTGTGTGGGCCCACTGGCCAAGCTTTCCTCAGATGTGAAATAGGAAAGCAACAGGGCACAACTTCTAGTTAATTTAAAAATATTTACAAAATCATCCTTATATTCCATTAGCGTTGTCACTAATTACTAATTCTATCTAAATATATTAAGAAGGATTTAATTCAAATTGAGAGTAAGAAACATAAATAACTCACCAACCTTCAACTGTTATTAATTACTGTAGTATAGTTTACTGATTACATTGTATCTGGAGCCAAACTGCCCAAGTTCAAAGTTAGGCTTATCCACTCACTAGCTTGTAAAATTACCTAAAATGTATGGCTCAGTTTTGTTGTCTGTAAAAGGAGATAGTAATAGTTAGTATCTGCCTCATGGGATCTATAGAAATCAAATATAATGTGCCTAGAGTAGTTGTAAGCACATAATAGTCTGTTTTTCTTATTTAACATGCATATGAATCAGTGATTTTCCCCCTAACATTGTATTTTAATTTACACTAAACTTTTAGATATCAGATATTTTCTATTTAACCATCTTCAAGTTAACTAAATTTCCTCTTCCTAATCTGCTGCTAAAGCCCATCTATTGAGTCCTCACTTTTAGTTATAGTTTTCTATTCTAGAGTTTGTTTTATTTCTTTTTAAATTATAATTCTTTTGTTGGAATTCTCCATTTAAAAAATCTGTATATGCCATCTTTTTTGCCATTTCTTGAAGATATTAATTGACTATCCTATATAATAAAAGGGTAATGTGCAAATTAACCCTAGCAGTGGAACACCCACTGGATCAGTCACCATGAGGTGCACTGACCACCTCTCGGTCCCTTTCCCTGGCTGGCAGGCTCTGATTGCATGATGGCAACCTACGGCAGGGGCGGGGCCGGCGACTGGGCATTAACAGTCGACCTCTCAGTCCCTTCCCCCCGGCCATCAGGCACCAATCACCCAATGGAGAAAGGGTAACTAAGGATGGGTGGTGGTGGTGGGGCGGGGCTGGCTGCAAACAGCTGGGGAAGATGGCCTTAATCACAGGCCAGGCCTAGGGACCGTACCTGTGCACGAATTTCGTGTGCCAGGCCTCTAGTATATATATATATAAAAGCCCAGCAACCGCAACAGCAGAATGACCAGAGAGACTGGTGGTTATGATGCACACTGCAGCAGCCAAAAAAAACTGGCCCCCCCCCCCCCCCGGCCGGCCCCCCCCCAGCCCCCAACCGCCCCCGGCCCCTCCCCTTGGCTGGCCAGGCCCAATGGGCCCCCATTGGTGCGGGCCAGCCGGACTCCACCCATATATGAATTCGTGCCCTGGGCCTCTAGTAGTTTATAAGGACTTTAAATAATTAATTCTGTTATCTGTATCAACTTTAGATGTGTTCCTGCTGTTTGATGTTGTCTCTGGCTGTGGTTGTTTGGCTGTATTTCTCATCATGTTGTAATTTGATTGAATGCCTGACGTTGTGAGGTTCAGGCCTGTCCAGCTTGCCTTTTCTTCTAAGACCTAGGCTTCCAGGTACTCCACATGAGTCTGCCGGTATTTACCAATCCCCTTTCCCGCCTGGTCCTGGTCTCCATTTCTATCTCCTTAGTATTTGGGGCCTCTGAAATCTTTGCTTTGCTCTTCAGTGGTTTCCTGATTAGTTTTTAGCCTACCTCCCCATATAGCAATAGAGCGCAAGAGTTGTCCTTGGTGGAGAACATGGCTTAGCTCAGGCTCAGTTTATCATGCAGTTTAGCTTCAGTCATCTGTCCTCCTGTTTCAAAGCTGTAAAACCCTGTATCATCATATTCTGTAATAAGTTAAAAAAAGGATAATAACTGTACTTTGTGTACATCTTAAAAATATGCCAGTTTTTCTCTAGAAAGAAAGTGTTCTCTCTCATCTTTATTCCCTAGTTCCTGTCACCAGTCTCACTAATTTTATTTTCCCAGATCAACTTCTGTCCACTATACCTATATATTATATGTGCAATATATATTATGTATGTATATATTGTACTCAGTAACTCTAGTATAAAGGTGTAGAAGGGCTTTGAATTCAGCAGACTTTATGAACCACCTGATAGAAACTCAGTACATTCAGCTGTTCATTCATTCATTCATTATTCATTCATTTATACATTTTATCAAATATTTTTAAATATCTCCTCTATGGTCCTCTACTGGTGTTTCAGA